CGGCAGCCTGAACCTAAAGTCCGCGTCTGGGGGCACTTGCCGTACTTCAGCAGAGCTGAACCTATCGAGGTCGGCGGAGGCCGCACTGGTCGCCGTGTCGGTGAAGCTCCCGAAGTGGCGGATGACGCCGCCGCCGCCGCCGCCGCCATCGCTGCCGCTACCCTCCGCCGGCAGGACAACCTCGGACACCTCGAAGCTTTGCCGCGGCGCGACGTCGCGCCGCCGCGTCCGCGCCGCCGCCGCCGCCGCCGAATCGTCATCATAAACGGCCACATCGACGTCGAAACTGCCCCCTCCACCGCTGCCGCTGCCACTGTCCCCCACAGCCGAATCCTCCCGCGGGTCTCCAGGCGGCGCCGCCATCGGCATTGCGCTGATTCCCGAGGCCAATGACAACGCGGGCTCCATCTCCGCCGCCGTCGCCGTCGGGACGCACCCCTCACCCGACGGATCCACACCGACCCGTGGGTCCGCCCCTGCATCGGGCCCTTCTGACAACAGGTCCAAGGGCTCCATGGGCACCATGGGCGCCGCCATTGGATGCAGGCGGGGCGTGTCGAACTCGGGCTCTTGGTCCACGTCCCCCCAGAACGCTGCTGGCAGCGGCAGCGGCAGCGGCGGCGGCGACGGCGGCGGCGACTGTTGCGTTGGCGGTGGCGGCAGCGGCGGCGGCGACTGTTGCGTTGGCGGTAGCGGCAGCGGCGGCGGCAGCGGCTCGAGGGATGAGGCCTGTGAGCTCCCGGTCCCGAGGTCCACATCGCTGGGCGCATCCGCAGCTTCAGGACTCGCCCCTGAAAAAGGACCCATTGGGGCATTAGGGCCTTCCTCCGCATTGATCACTCTAGCGGTGAGCCCGCCGCCGCCGCCGCCGCCGCCGCCGCTACCGCCGCAGATTGGCGCCTCAGTGGCTGGGTGGGGGTCAGGATGGACGGCAATCGTTGCTACGTTGGCGCTTTCCGTGCCGGAAGTGAGCACCGCTACACCGGGGGATCCTCCGCCGCGGCTCCTGCCGCCGCCGGGGGGATCACCGACTGGCTCGGCGTGCGGCCCGCTTTCCTGCAGAAAACGGTCCAGTAACATGCTACCATCAATAACGGCGGCGCCGCCGCCGCCACCGAAGCCGGCACGGCCGGTACGGCGTCGACGGCTGCTGTCGGCCGAGGCAAACGCAGCCACGTCCGCCGCGCCGTCGGCAACATCCACGCCGCCTCCGCTGCCGCCGCCGCCACCGCCGCTGGCGCCAGCTTGGCGATCAGCTCTCAAGCGCGATCGGACGCTACCCCCCATCAGCGCAATGGCCGGCTCACCGAGATTCAAGGTGGACGGCACCGACAGAGAGGGACTTGATCTGCCGCTGCCGCCGTCCCCTAAAGCCATGTACGGCATCCGTACATCACCCGTGAGACCGTTGCCGCCGCCGCCGCCACGCGACGCCGCAGGGGGCGTCGTCGTCCCCTCGACCAGGGCCGCCCCGGGTCCCCCTCTGCGACCGGTCGCTGCTGGCGGTGTTGTCGGGGCTTCCGTCTGGTGTACTCGGGGGCTCCGGGGGGCTCTGGGAAGTGCTCTGCCAGGTGTGTGCCCCGGCAGTAGCGGTCCCGGGGCGGGGGATCCTAAACCTGGCAGGCGGGGGTCTGGACGAAGAGGGAGGGGAAGGGAGGGACATCGGAGCCGCAAACCAGCAATCAACAACCGTATGGATGTATGGATGCATGTACGTATGGGTCGGTCCTCGGTTGCGGCCACAACGGCGGCGGCGAGGGGTTTACAGGGTGGCGTGGGAGAAAGCGAAAAAGAAGAGAGAGAGAGAGAGAGAGAGCTGTGTTTGTAGAGTGTGTGTTACATCCGCTGCTTGTACAAGCAATTATCACCCTCGTCAACTTCTCAGTGGATCGCTCAGGTTCCGCACCCACCACCAGCATCCAACGGAATCTGCCGGGTCGACAGCGGCCCAACCCCGTTCCTGGTGTCTCGCAGGTTAACCTTATCCCAGGTCACCACCGTCCATCAACTAGGGGCGCAATGCCTTTCACCATCGGAAGGACTTTTGACTCTTAACGGGTATCGATCCCGGGATCATCCGGGGGCAATGGTCGCGCCTTACCAGTGGTGCCAAACCATCATTTATGTATGTATGTATGTATGGGAGGATTGTGGCACAGGCCACCGGGAGCTGATCTGGTCGCGGCTGTGCCGATCGGCGCACTTTTAAAGCTTTGTTAAAATTGCACTTCAACGCCTTGTTTGGCGCCTCCAAGGCTCGCCACAGTGCTGCAGCACACCTCAAAACAGGTCTATCAAACACTCTCGCAGGTGGTGCGCTTGGTGGCGTTTGATCGGGTAGGATCGACCACCTGCCAACAGCTCCGGCGCGGACAACAGTGCACTTTGGCAATCTTTGCAGCCACAACTGCAACAAAATTCTATGTTGTCACAGAATAAAAAAATTGTCGCTTTTGACCCCGATATAATTTATAGCCGTTATAGAGTCCGCACTGACCAGATCGATGGCCCCCTGTGCGTTCCGCAAAGGCGGCGGAGCCTTGCGCGGGGTCGCCCGCTTTAGAATCCATTAGGTTGATTTAAAACGGGCCCCGCGCGCCGGCCAACTGAGCTCCTCTTTGCGTTATTTTTTTATGATATGGGCCCCTGCACAGGTGGCGAAGCCAGGTGAGGACAAAAGTAAGAGCAGGACGGACCCATGGTTCCACCAACGTGACACCGAAGGGCTGTGAAAGACAACGCAACGCACGGCCCTGATTCCGTTGCCCTGCTGCAGCTATTTCCGTTAGTTGCCTACCTACGCAAATTTCTATACCGAGAAGAAGTGCTGATGGGCCCACTTCCGTGGTTTCAGAAAATCGGCAATCAAACTCGGAACACTTCAGCGTAGACCCAGAATCAGACGAGAACGTGACGTAGTTGTATTTTATGACGGAATTTGATTTGTTATGCGTGAATCGTTACTTGGCGGCTCAAGAGCAATGTTAGACGTCCTTCTGTACTGAATCCGATGACGCAAAAACTCCTTCTACGAGTCCTCACCCAGACAAAAAGAATAGCGGGGCCGGAAGTATGCGAAAGAAAGCATGTATGCTTACAGAACGGTATTAGGAGCGATGGCTGCTCAGGTCAGGTTCACGCCAGCCACTATTCCAGCAGCCCGTGCACCGTAGGTGGCGAAACGTTTGTGGAGGCAGCGTTGGGAAAAAAGAAACCTTCTGCAGGCCTGAAAAAGGTTAAATACAGGAACGCGTGGCCTCCCACCCCACCTGACTCTCTATGCCGCGCAAAAAGTGCAGAGGCGTGTTGTCCCAACCGACCCAGTACCATATCCTACATAGACAACAAGTCTGCGGCAACGAGCGGCAATCGCGTAAGCAAAGGCTCGCCAGCAGGGGCTGTTAACATGGTCGGGTGAGGTCTGAGGTGTTACGTAGCCTTAACGGAACCAGCAAGCTGAGGGAAAAGCCAGCACCAATTATGCATTTTCCAATTATGCACTATCGTGCTCTGTCATATATTCAACGCAGTGGCCACGAGGGGCTCAGCCATGGGACAGGGTCGCGTAGTGCGCAGCCAAGCCGCTCGAGATGAACACGGTACAGCGCTGATCATCAGTAAGAGCAGGACAGCACCCCGGAAGGAAAGAAAGTTGGACATTTAGCTCGCGCTGCGGTGGCCTCTTGACCTGCCAAAATGGGTTCGTTGCATTCTCCGCTTCTAGCACCGCAGCTTGCGCTGGTATCATGCTGGTGCATCAATGTTGCTATCATGCTTGTTGTGGTCAACACCTGCAGCACCTGCTGCGTCACAAATTTGCACCCCTGCCCGCGGGTAGGATGGGACCCGCTATGGCGAGGTGGGCCTGGAGCTTGTGTTTGGCGATCGCTTCATGCAGCTCAAAACGCGCCATCTGTTCGAGAATAGAGGCTTGGGGGATGATGCGAGGTGGATTTTCAGTTTCAATCAGAGGGCTGCGGGGTCTGGAGTTGTACAAAACCTTTTCGTATGTTACGGTTACGGGACGTTACGGAAACTGGTGTCTACTTTGTGCTGCTTCTGCTTAAATTTAGGCCATAGCTTCAAATAGTCATCTTTCGAGACGGCGTGAGGAGGAAACTCAAATAACTGGTATGAGGACGATGCAGGGGATGGGCGCATGGTAAAGTCTAGCTCCGAGACCCAAAGTTTGGCAAAGTTGTGCTCCGACAACCTATATGACAGTATTAAGTTTTTTCATGTGAACCCCTTGGAGTATATTTGTCTGTCGCCTCGATTTCAAGACAGGCCAAGGCAACTTTAATTTCAGGCCAACAATTACGCGTGCTACACTCCAACTAAATTACGATGAGTCGTGTTATCCACGTTCAGACCAAGGAGGAATGGCAAAGCCACTTGGCGGAGTCGCGGTCCTTTGGTGGGAAGGCATTCGTCGTTGATTTCACTGCGAAATGGTGCGTCGCTCACGCAAACGTACCGTTGCTACTTTAACCTGCATTTAGATCTAATTTAACTTTGCAATCATCCTCCCTCTTGCAGGTGCGGACCCTGCCAGCGCGTTGCACCCGTCTATGACAAGCTGTCAAACGACAATCCAGGGCTGACATTCCTGAAGGTGGACGTGGATGAGCTACAGGTCAGATACCAGCCACAGTGTCTGGAAACGTCTGGGTGATACGTTTGATTCGGTATTGTCGTTCCGGCGCCTGAACGGCATATGTCATGTCTATGCCAAGCCTTGAATTACTATTTTTCCAAGCTAGCTCGCTCCTGTCGGTATCCTCGATGGCTTGCCGTCCCCCACCCCCGGCTTTACGTGCTACCACTACCCGCTTGCGCAGGAAGTTGCTTCCGAGTGCGGTGTTAGCGCCATGCCGACCTTTATGGGGTACTTCAATGGCGAGAAGGTTCGTGTACGGCGACATGAGACTTTGTATGCTGCGAAGCTTAAGGGACGGTCGTTCGGGTTGAGGCATTCGATTTGTGGTACAGCTTGCGTACGACCCACATCTGACTGTCGAAGCCAACAGCTTGTGGATGTACCCTACGACCCCTGTGCGTTCCTACTAATTGGTGGGGATCGATTACGGTGTTATGAACTGGCACTTTTGCCACTGGACTGCCTTCCTGCGGCTCCCTGCTCATTTTATCAGGTCGAGACAATCGTGGGAGCGGATCTCGCGAAACTTAATGCCCTGATCGCCACGTAAGCATTGTGTACATGGGTATGGGGAGGACTTTGTCTCATGCCAAAATTGGACGGTTTTCACAAAGGATCTTGTTCCGTTTTGACGCATTTGCTCGTTGAGTGCGCGTTTCCGTAGCCTCGGCACCTAAAGACCATGCCGATATGCAGCATGTCATGATGTCATGTCGTGTGTTATGTGCTTGCAGGCTCAACGCCAAGGCTGGCGCTGGCGCGGGTCAGAAGCTGGGCGGGGAGGCTGCTGCGGACGACTCTCCTGAGGCGCGCCGTGCGCGAATGCTAGCTGCAGCGGAGGCCCGCAATAAGGCCGCATAAGTTCACGCAGCCAGCTTGTGTGATTTGCATGAACGACCGAGGCATGGCTCTGCTGCTGCGGACTGCCGCTGCATGTTGCATGATGATACACGAGGAGTGCTGTCTGAAGAGGCACCTGCATCAGTCATGGACGTGTGTTATACACTGCATATTTGTAAAATCTTCGTTGCATTCAAATTCTTCCTTATTATCATCTATGTGAAGATAATGCACGGTCGGCACAATTCTCTAATCTGGGTATTACCTCCCCAGGGAGACGCGGTTGCGAGCCTTCAATGGAACCATGAGACAGATGGATGAGGTCTCCTATGTTCAGCTAAGGTCACCACCAATGCTAAGGTCACCAGCAATAACTGGTGTTCCGGCGAACAGGATGGCCTACCATTTGTTTAGAACACTAGGTTGACCGAATTACTGATGAGTAGGTGTTGCGCCTGCTGTAGCAAATCGTATATGTAACCCAGCCATCCAGCCAGCAGGTGAGTAGGGTGAAGACAGAGCCTCGAATTGGTTTAGTGACAAGCTTGCTCGCCAACGGACCGTAATCCATGCCTCATGTCTGTGCATGCATGACGACGCAAATGCCGACGAACAAGATAGTACCACTTACACACGTATACAGCTTTGGTTGCAGGGTTTAGAAGTCCAGCCAGAGACTAACCATGGTATTTAGCTGCTCAAGATGGGGAACTGAAAACGTCGTGGGCATTCAGATAGAGAGAGAACTGAAACGAAACCAGTTATAACAGCCTGATGTCCAGGCCAGGCATCACACGCTCCGTAAGGCATAAACAAAGCATTTCCCTTAGTCCTTGGTACGCTGGCTGCTAGGAGTGTCCACCAGCGCTATCTTGGGTACACACAGGAAGCAACCTCAATGCCGGCAACCACCTGGAGAGAGCCATCTACACGATCTACACGTCTGCGCAGCACGAACCCCGTTTCAAAGAACCAAAACTTGTCATAACTTTGTAGTCTATGAAAAATATAAGCTTCAGGTCAGACGAAGGCTTTGCCCTATTGTCCCGCCCACATCAGATTTATCTGACACTGCACAAGTCATCCCGCACTAACGATGCGATCAGATGGACCAAAAAAGAAACATCACACACCAGCCACAAAGAAGTGTGATGTCGTACCCCTTTTGGGCCGTACGCAGAAGAAAAGGTAACCCCTCGGCTGCTTTTAAACGCCGGGCTCCCAACCCACTTTTGGCATCTTGCAGGCAAGGATGCAAAATACAACCTAGCTCGTTGTGCAAGACACAACGCCCCGCAAAACCCAAAAACCTACAGCTCGCGAGGTTCCACCACATAATATTCCTTAGGACTATCATACGGCTCACCAAGTTGTCAATGGTAAAAAATAGTGCTGAATTAATCAAAGGGGAAAATACGTTCACCGTTCATGCTGCATGCCTTCGCAGGGTCATGTTTTCCATTACGGAGTACAGAAAACAGTCCATTATCCGACCGAATAAAATTTTTATGTTATTTATAACTCAGACGCACTAGCTAGGTCACGTGTAAAGTTTGCGGCATAAAATTTGCCGCGCATTCCCGCAATCCAAACTAGGCCCTGCCACCGCACAAAGTCATCGTGCACATTTTCATGGTGGCGCCGCTGCTGAAGTGCGTGCGCAGGTAAGTTCTCCTGCACAACAGCTCAGCCGCTTCGCAGTGTTGCGCATCGGATTGCACATCTAACCCACCTCCTGTGCCGGCTCTAGGCTGAACCCGGGCTAGCCTCAGGCCCGCGAGTATCTGGTATGCGGCTATGAAGCCACTGCAGGACGGTAGCGAATGCGTCGTTGTAGACTGGGAAGTTGTGCACGGGCTGGTAGGGGTGCTCGGGCGGAACCTAGCAAACGAAGCATGTGTTGTGGTGCAGCCAGGGGGTTTAGGTTTAGGAGCGACACGGCTTAGGAGGGACACGTGAGCGACAGCTAGACAGCTTAGCACGCTATCAGGCAGGGATCCGGATGTCGGGCAGGGCCGTGGGATTTTCAAGTGCCGTGGGATTTTCGAGTCAGCGGCATGATTGGCGGTGCCAATTAGTGCGTGGGACCAGCGCGCCGCAGGCACCTAGGACAGGTGTCAACAGTAGGATACAAGGAAGCCACGCACAAGGAACTTCAAGGGTCATGGCATGGCGTACAAACCCTTAGTGATCCGCCCTCTTGGACACAGCAGCCGCACCTCCTTGTGGCCCTCCGGCATTTGCAGCTTAATGTCGTCCTGGACCCGCAGGTTACGCTGCGCGATTCCCCGCATCGCTGCATGAACTAGAGGCCCGTGACCGTACGCGAATCTGCACGGTGTCGGTTTCCCGCAGTTGCGAGATGAAGGGTTTGTCAGCGTTTGTTAGCACCACCAGTGAGCGCACACTTTGTAAACCTTAAAAAAAACTGTGGCAATCAGGCCTTTTGCGTTAGCTGGTCGTCATAGAGTAAGTTCACTAAGGATAGGCCGGGGCTCTAGTACCCAAAGCCCGGTAAGTCGTTTTACCGAGGGTCGCATACCCATATATTTCGTAAGTGCACGACGCTTATATAAGAGGCTGACGACATCGATGTCATGACTCGAATATTAGGTCGAACGCTGCCAGGAAGCTCTGGCCGATGTGTACCATTACCGTTCGAGCACAAGCGCTCGTGGCCAGCTCATGCTAAACCGCCGCCTCTTCATGTGGCGACCCACACACCAATCACGCGACATATAAGACCCGCCAGACGACGTACGTCCCGATCTGATCTATGCTCCAACCAGGAGCGCAGCGTAGTGCGTGAGCACGATTGGTCTTGTAACCCGCAAGCAAAACATGTGCAGCTCCCGGGCACAGCATCAAGGATGCTTCCCACCCCCTCCCCCCTCCCCCGGGACGCACCTGTGCCAAACCAGAGACAGTCGCCGCTGCATTCGTGCGATCTGCGATCCATATAGGTGGGAGAGGAGGTTTAGTATCCTACTAAATCTTAGTAGGATACGCGCGTGAGCAGCTCGCAACATCTCAGCCCCATCTCACCCCTGCCTAAACATCCCCACATACAAGCGCGCGAGGCATATGTATGACCAACAACACCGCTATTGGTGCCTACCTACACACGACTAAGCGCCAACAAATGATTTTCTTTCCGCTCTTGTAGATCGCATCTGCGTGATCCAGTCTTGCTGTCCTAACAGTCTTGCCGTGCTGTACCTGGTCGGGCGAGATGGCCGTCAGGAGGTGCGGCAGGTACTCGTTGAGAGCCGCCTCCGAGATGCGCAGGGAGAAGGAATCCACATCTATAATGCTTTCAAATAGGACGTGCGTGTTGTCCACGATGATGAGCGGCAGACAGCCATGAAGCACGGCGTCCTCGAAACGCGGCGAGTAGCCATCGCCTGGACATGTTAAGTGTATAGCAGTAATTCGGGGAATTCGATGCCTTGTGGCCGCGCGGGCGGAGGGCCCGCAACGGCATAAGCATCGGGAGTGCGCTGGGAAGGATGGACAAAGCACACCGGGAAAACCCAGATGGAACGTAGGGACAACAAGGGGCTCGGAGCGTCGCAGCAGTAGCAGCAGCTAATGTACCGCAGCTGTTCCGTTGCGGCGTACACATGCGTGGCATACTCAAGGCCTGCGCACGTGTCGTTTACATACGCACCGACAGGTCAGGGCGACCCCTCCGCTACCCGGGACCCACCAGGGACGACCCCTCCGCTACCCGGGACCCACCAGGGACGACCCCTCCGCTACCCGGGACCCACCAGGGACGACCCCTCCGCTACCCGGGACCCACCAGGGACGACCCCTCCGCTACCCGGGACCCACCAGGGACGACCCCTCCGCTACCCGGGACCCACCAGGGACGACCCCTCCGCTACCCGGGACCCACCAGGGACGACCCCTCCGCTACCCGGGACCCACCAGGGACGACAGCGCAGAAGAGCGATCGCGAGAGGTGCTCCCCATAGCTCCCTTGGATCTCGAACTGCTCCCCAATAAAGATACGGTGCTTCTTCGCCCATTCGTTGTCGACCGCGAGCCTGCGAGCACGTAAAAAAAGCAGGAAACGCTCATCTAACTAACTAACTAACTAACTGCATAGTTGCTCCAGTACCCCGGCGCTCCAACCAAAGCTCAGGCCTTTCCCTTCTGCCGTCGAGCAACTAGGTACCATAAACCTGCAGAACACTAGGACAAGGCGGTCCGCCTGCATTTCCAGCCTTTGCATATCTAGATATTCTCCAAAGGTTTATTTCTGCTGGTTCAACGACCGACCCCCATAAGCCCGGTACAGGTCCCAGGCTAGCACACCACACCACTGCCGTCCCAAATCCTCAAACAAAAAATCCCATAAACGTAGACATTCCCAATACCCCCGTGCCCACACGCCCGATCCCTTACACACTTGTACAGCTTCTGGCGGATTCCTCGGCTGTAGTTGGGCTCTCGGTGCTTACCCACATCGCCCCGCAGGTACAGCAGGATGTCCCGCTGCCGGGGCCAGCTGCCCAGCAGCGGCGACTGGCTGAAATGATCGGGCGTCTTGAAGGCGGGGATGACCAGGTCCTGCACGGCGGCAGGACGATGCACCATGTGGCCAAACAAGACGGCACACAGCAAAGGGTGCGTCGAAAAATGCTGCGCATTCGTCCACAGAACACTAGCACATCACAACGCCCCTGACGTAACCTCCGCAGCGTGTCACTGTCATAATCCTCATGACGAGTCCCCTGGCCTGTCCTGGCATGCACAAACAACGGGTATGAAGCCCCATCCGCTCTTTGCAGCTCACCCTTGTCTTCTGTGCTCTGGGCAGGTTTCTTTTCCTTCCCACCCTGCAGCTTCTGCACCATCCTGATCCTCTAGACTGCGCACGTCCCTACTCGCATCCAGCTGGCCCTACTCCCATCACCCTCCGCCGCCAACCCGCCCTTTATCTGTGGAAAGGGGGAATCACTCGGGACTGGTATGCATGCAATCCAATTCAACAGCCAACACAATAACGCGCCACCCGCAAGTGTTCATCGACTTATGTGTTTGTTGGCTCCCCCCAAGCGAGGGACCCCGCTCCACAGCTCCACGTCCTTTTCGCCTCCAAACCCCCTAGCCCTGCGCCTCGTCAGTGCTGCTGTACCTTGCGCGGGTCATAGCAGGGATGTCCCTGGTAAAGTGTCTTGACGTCCTTGCCATCCAGGACACCCTTCCACGTGATCCCGTCAGAGTAGTTGTCAGGTCTGTAGGCGGTGTTGGACGTGTGATTCAGGTCCATACGGCCCCAGTGGGTGAGCATGATGGAGGTTTGGTAGATTTCTGGGGGGAGGATATGGGAGCAAGGCAGCCGGGACAGGGACATGTCAGGCAAGCATAGGCGCCATAAAACTCGCATAAATGCTTTCAGAAAACATGAAATGCGAAATTGGTGACGGAAGAGAAACCCATGCTGCACAGACATGTTTGTTCGCAATCACCAACCTTGATGAGGAGAAGGGAGGGAAGGGCCATGGAACGGAGAACGGAGAAAATCATATTGGCGCAAGATTGCTCAAGATGGTGCTAAGGACAAGAACGACCGGGCAGGTTAGCAATACAGGGTTCAGGCGCGCCTATCCAAAACATCAGCATTACACCTCGCGCACGCAAAAGCCATAAAACCAATGGTGAAAGACGGACAGTGAGAGAGCTTCGCCTACAGCCGTTGTGCTCTCCCTTGGCTCCGTTCCCCACACCCACATCTGCCGTTCCCGGGGCCCTCGCATGCGTGTCTGTCTGTCTGTCTGTCTGTCTGTCTGTCTGTCTGTGTGTTTTCTCTACCTGTGGGCATGTAACACGCCCCCTCGTCATGGTTGGTCATCCAGATGTGGTCCCGGCCGCCTCGACGGTCCCAGAATGGGAAGTTAGACTGGATCCACGTCTTGGCCTTGAGCCACAAGTTTGCAGCGTTTGAGTAGCGGTGCCAGGCTGCAGCAGCGCGGATCACCAGCGGACAGCGAGGTGTCCATGTAAGTCAACACGCAATTCGTTGCCAGGAGCGCTGGGCCAGGAGCACTAGGGCAGGCTGGCAGGAAGGATGGTATTTGCTTCAACTTGCTTGAAGCGGGCGTCAATGCAAAGCAAGGCGACGCGATGACTCCCCCGGCACAGAATTTAGGATCGGAAGTGCCGCTGGGTAGCTGATCTACTTAAGGAGACGCACCGGCCGATACACAACACGCAAAAAGCATGCTGTTTGTTGCTTTTTGATGAGACCAGCGATTAACAGGTTGCTAGTGCTAAGGCGGATGCACTTACAGGTTGGGGCTCCGTAAAATGGCATGTCAGCCCAGCCATTAATTGGCCACATCCAGCAGGTGTAGTAGACGGGCACGTAGAAAAAGTCGGCCTCCTCCGGGTCGAACGTCCTGCAACGGCCGACGGCAGAATTGGATGCAGTCAAACCGGGTTGCCGGGCGCGTGTACCGGTGCCACCACCAGTATTCATCCCCTGCATTCTCATGCACACAGTAAAACGCCTTTGTATACGCTGCGTTTAGACGTTTAGACACGAAGTAATGTTCCGTTTCCCTCCGTGCGCCATTGTAAAACCCGAAGTCCCCCGGCACCTGTGCGGGCTGATAGAGAGGACCTCATGGAAATACGCCTCCACTGAATAGGTGTCCGCGTACAGCTCCGTCCGGTTACTGGGAATAAAGCGCCGATAGCTGCAATGCTCACTGCGGCAGATTAAAGAGGGTGCGTGAGTAGAAGTGCATCGAGCGGCGCACATCGAGCACATCAAGCTCATTATGCATTTGGACATGGCCGCAGTGGCATTAGCATTAACAAAAGCGATGCGGATCAAGCACGATTCAGGCTCGAATGCACTCCTTGGGGTGCAAGAAAACACACCCTCTGCTCGTGTGCATCTCCACACACGCGCTGCAAGAAGGCTCCTGTGCGGCAAAGATATGTAAACAACAACCAGGGCACCTCTCAGGCTCATCGTCTTCCCTGCTCTACACGATGTACACGACGTCCCGCGCTACCCAGCGAGCCCATGAATGCTTATAACGCTCTCACTGGACGTTCTTGTACTGGTGCATGCGGCTGGTAAACTCTGGTGGCATGTCGTAGATATAGATAAGCGGCCGCATGCGCCCGGGAGTATGCTGCTCCCCTACAGCACTGCCCGTCCCGGCGGCGCCCTCGCTGTTCGGTGGCTGAAGCGCCGCCGCGACCACGGGCATCACCACTGGCTTCAGCCATGGTTTTGCATCCTCCAGGCCTGCAGCAGCACAGCGGGCACGGGATCGGGGGTTAGGCAGACTGCTTAGCTTGAGTTTCTGCATAGTTGCGTGTGCGTGTGTGTGCATGTGTGTTACACCTCCTAGAGTTGTGTTACTCTCCGATGGTGTAATGGGGGCCCATACCAGGAGCACTGAGGGGCCCCCCAAGGGCCTGCAGCCTAGGGCTGTCCTAAATGATAAAACAAAAACGCAAAAGAGAAACTCTTATCCTCCTGCCACTCAACAAGAGAAGAGAAAAGAAATACATGTGTCTAACTAATTGCGCTACTCAAGACTGGTAAGCCACGTTAGCTGCGCCTGCCATTTCTGACCCTCCTGAGCCATACACTGTGAAAAAGGTTCGCCAACGTCAGCTGGTCAACCGCTGCCATCAATCACCACATCCTTCAGAATCCACCTGGATCCACCAGATCCACCTGGAACCCGACAGAAAGCCCCCCTGCATGTGTTACATGCACGGCTTAAATCTCGCAAAACTTGCAAATCCTCTGCTCGCGTGCGATTCCCCCCCATAAGCTCTATTTACTTCTGGCGGCCAGCAACATAGACGAAACCGCACTAGTGACCGATGCATATGGACAGGAATGAACATATTGACATACGGCAACCAGCAGCTTGCCCCGGCTGCTTTCTCAAACGGTAACCCCATCTAGCACATCTTGTACTTCTTTAGCCATCTTTATGCCTGGTTGCTTTCTCGTACGAGATGAAGCCGACATGCAACCCAGTCAGCACTCATGCTCCGACTTGACCGAAGCGCACCTGGCTCGAGCTCTTCACCCGCCTTTTTCCTGGCACACTCGTGGCCGTACCAGCCAGGATGGCACCTGCCGGCATGAAAGGGACAGATTTGGTGTGTAAGGCTGTGTAAGCAAAAAAGCTGTTAGCTCGCAGCAAGGAGTGCATCACGCAGCTGTCCGTAGCCCTTCCTTGAGCTTAGAAGATGGAGCATTAAGAAAAGGGTTGCGGATGGCCCTTTACCAGTACCGAGTGGGCGCAGTGCAGGGGGTCTACCACTACTAACTCCTCTACACCGGCTCCAGCGACCATTTGCCTCGCTACCATTCGTCAGCCAGCCAGCCAGCATTGCTCGCCCATTGCCGCCAGTCGCGCCATCCTTACCGGCAGTAACCCCCGTCGCATTCGCCATGTCCGGTACACTGGTTCAGACAGACATCCTCGCTGACAATGTCGCAGAACACTCCGTGTAGGCTGTCAGACTGGCAGCCCCGAAAGCCACCGGCGCAAGCACCTCTGGACGCGCGGAATGAGAACCAAGAAAAAAGGTGCCGGTGTTGTGCAGCGGGCGCTTACAACCAGGTCAAAGCATCATCACCACGGTGGCGGGAAAAATTTGCAACAGGGATGTGCCGTCCTGTGAAATCCCCACCGCGCCTCTGCCACCTGCCGAGCATGTGCTACTGGTATGCGCCAACGCACGACGGGTTCGGCCTGGACCATTAATTGCAATGCCAGGGGCCCCCCAGAACATCAAATCATGGAGAAGCCCCTCGCCCCAGTTTTCCCTTAGCAGTATTTTCCCTTCCCTCTCTTCCCTTCCCTGTTGAAGGGGTGGAAAGCAGCTCCCCGGTACACCCCCAAGTCCCGCAATCACACACAAACCGCGCCGCTCCTCACAGTATGTGTTTCGGCACGGCGTCAATGGTTTCCGCGTTGCACCAGCTCTGTGCAGCGAAAGTAGAAGGAAGACGGCGGGGTGGGCAAACGGGTGGCATCTAGGCAAGAACCAGCATCGGTACGGGGATCCCGCCCGTCCATGTGCCTGTCCTTCCTAGTCATGCCTGTCCTTCCTACATGCCCAGAACTGCACTACAACATTTCGAGGGGGAAGATGTCTCAAGCCCGAGCATGATATCTCAACCCGCAGGTCCTCAGGTCTTCAGCACGGGCGCTGTATTATTACAGCAATGTACGGAAGGGCTGCCGGGCTGTCTCGCTCCTTATACGTGAATGTCACTTGCCATGTAGCAGCCTTTCCCTAAATGCAAGACCGGACGTGCTTAACCAGAGGGCAAAAGCATGGTCACAGAAGTGGGTGTTGCTGCTGGCCCTTACAGTTGCAGCAGCGCTGCCTACAGGAGGAACCTCTTGCCCTACATTTCCATTGCTTCAGGATACCTTCTCAACTTCCCGAGGCCGGCAGACGCACCTTTTCACCCAACAAGTCATCGATGGAAATACCCGCATTACCCCAATTGTTCTTCTGTAAGACCCCGTCCTTGCCTCGAACCTGCGAAAAGCCGTACCGAGCAGCAAACCAGCTGTATGCCACCCGGGGACGAGAACATCGCGAGAGCAACAAGCAGGCGACAGCAACTCCAAGCGTCCGAAATGAGGAAGAGTGAGCGCTGAAGGGACTAAGGAAATACCCAGGCGTAGCGCACAAGAAGGTGAAGATGCGGGAGTCAGTTTTAACGGCTTGCTAAGGATTGGTGGTGGTGCAGCACGCTGTTTCTCGTCGGCTCAGGACGCTGCTTGGTCCGGAATAACGGCGTCTTACGCTTACTTACCAGGCCAGGCTTGCAGGCCTCCATAATGACCCGTCCGAGTTGCGAATATCGGACCCAAGGTGGCGAATCCGGTGGCGGAGGTTTGCGGCCAAAGGTGGTGTTGGCAGGACACCAACAAGAAGCTCGGTCATCGTCGCAAAAGCCTACAAACGCGTACCGAGCACAACATGCGCTAGAATCGCCATGTCCTTGACACATTCATTTCGCATCAGGAGAGGTTCCGTTGCGGTGGGAAGAATGATTGGAGCCTGGCACACGCATATATTCAGATGCCTGAACAGGCAGCACGAAGGTGCATGACGCCGACGCCGCCTATACATTGACCTACGAATTCAAACCGCTGCATGCAGAAGGACACCATATTTGCGGCAAGTAGGAGGTGGCCCAGTTATTCAGAACTACTCCTTGCTTGTGACCAGCCGTCCGCGCCAGCTTACCTCCGCATCTGGAGGCGCTCCAGCCATCCGCCATTAAATCCAAATCCATGCCGTCGGGGCCAATGGATGACTGCGGGGCAGTAAATCAGCCCCTGATGTGGTGAATGGAGGTTTCTCCGCATTAAAACGCATAAAACTAGGGAGGAGGACCCCACACATTAGGTCTTTTGGGGGGGAGAAGCGAAAGCAGTTAACAAGCCGGAAGGAACCATTGCTACTCCGCAAAGTGAGGACATCTGCGCAACCGCAGCACACGTTTGTACCCCCACACGGAATGGAAAGGTGTTCGTAGGCCACATGACAAAACCTCTCAGACAGCTGGCGCTTTGCTCCATTGACTCCTGACCGCCGAGCCGGTCAGCTCAACCAGCTGCCCTCTTACGGCACCAGACCTCCCAACAGCAGCAGCAGCAGCAGCAGCAGCAGCAGCAGCAACAGCAGCAGCAGCGAGCTTACCAAGATGACATCTATAGGTCCGTCCGCGGCCTTGTGGCCGTTGGTGCAGGGTCGCTTCTCAGGTTCGTCACAAGCAGCACCCTTCCATCCTGGCCGTCGTGTAACATAAAACAGCACATAAAGCGTGGATGGGGGGAAAGAGCAACAGCTGAAGAGGATGGATGGAGGACGCGCAATGCAGGCGCACATGAGAGGTTGGAATGGCAAGCAAGGAGCGAAAGATTAACGTGAAAGGGGATGGGCGGGATGGTCGCAACAGCACACTTGGAGAATGCAAACCTAGATGAAATCAATGCATTTGTGGAAGCGTGTGAGCACACTTGGGTGCACTCTAGTGCACCCAAGTAAGTTGGCTTCAGGGACCGTATGAAAGGCCGTGACGACTTACTGGGGGGGTACCGTGCATGGGGGGGTTCCGTTGAGAGAGAGAGGGTAGGAGGAAGGCGGGCATTGCTTCGGCAAATATGGCATGCACCGATTTAATTTTGGGCTGTGAACAGTTCTGGGGCTTCGGAGCAATCCCGTAAACAACGAGAAGTGGAGAGGAGCAGCCTGGTGCCGTGGCTTACATTGCGTGTCTGTTGGCCTTTTCAGGATTTCAGTATAACGGTGTGAGTGACCAGCTCCAAAGAGCCAGGGGGGTGGATGAACGAACATCTAACGAGGAGAAGACGGTGGAAACCCAAACAGTGCAGCGCAAAGGCAGCTTAAAAAACTGACGTCAAAGGCTGCCGCCATTAAGAGAAGATCATGGATGATGGCGCAGGCGAATGATCCAGGCTGCTGCTACTTATGATGTGCGGTTTCGCAGGGCTGCATGAGCTCCTGCCGTATGGTATCCAGCTACAGTTGCCGCGTTCAGGCCATAATGGGAGTGGGGAGGGCGGCCAACACCAGCTTCTTGCTTCATATAAAGTCGGATCTTAGGGTTTCTGGTAATGGGCTTATAAGCAAAGCTGGACGTGCCGTGTCTACAAGGCTCACACACACACGCATACACATGCACACGCATACATACACACACACGCACACGCATACATACACACACACGCACACGCATACATACACACACACGCGCACACGCATACACGCACACACGCACACAGCCCCACTGACTGACCGACCGACCTGCCGGGCACTGGCAGACTCCAATGTCGTAGTGACAGTTCCCGACCCCGTTGCAGGGCCCCCACTTCGTCTTGGGACAGTCTTTGCTGCCCCGCGGCCCTGGCTTCCATGGGACTCGCTCCTGCCTGCAATTGCAATTGGGAACCAAGGACGCCGCAAGGGGGGGGTCGCCGCCATGAGCAGCAACAATTAAAGTTGTTTTGTGCAAGCCACCCACGCGCCAGAGGGGGTTACAAAAGCCTAGGCATTCCGTAGGCGTGGTTGCCTCATCAGATGAACAAGGAAATGAGCAGCCAGGATCACGAACTGCGAACAAAAAGAAACTGGGTCGGTAGTGTTGTCTGCGTATGTGCCTGTGTGTATAAATAGATAAATAAGTGGGTTTATGACTCATGGGGAAGTCTGCACAGGGGCTTACCAGAGCCGTATCTACACGAGCTATTAACATCGCGCGGGGGCGATTTCGCGCATCGCGTGGGGCGCATATACGATGTTATTCCTCTTCATAAATCGCAAGCCAGGCTTCAGCAGCGCAAAATAATGCACGAGGGGGTTGAAGGGGACCCTCGGCCTGCAGAGGCCTACACAGCAGGCACTTAGGAAACGCGGACCCACCTGAAGTAGTCCTTGCACCAGCTCCCCCGAGTTAGAAGACATGGGGAGTGCCCCTCACTGCGCCCCCGGAACCCCCGGCCGCCTAACCGTGTCACCGTGCCAACGTCGAGTGGATGGGGGTGTGTGCCAAGAATGGACGGATGGGGAGGGGTCAAAATTGAATGGAGGGGTGGTGGTGCCAAGACTGGATGGATGGGGAGATTCAGCTCCGACTGCGACGGCAGGTGCGAGCTTGCTCGAGACTCCATGACCAGGAATGGAGGTGTTGGCGGTAGAAAGATATGAAATTGTCAACATATGGACGGAGCCCAGCGGCGCAACCCTGACCACTTTCTTCCCTTACGCACGGGCACCCCACCTTGCTTGGGCCGTGTTTGACCGCCGATCGACCCAGATGCAGGTCGACCCAGATCTTCCCACCCTTGCTAGTCCACCTAAAATCACCCTGCAAGCACAGACAAAGGTCGATGTCCGTGCGTACCTTTATTAGAAGATTGCGCGTGCAGGATGTCATGGTCGTATTTACCTGCATATGAAACATGTGTGACACAAGGCAGACCCCTCCATTAACGTGAAACTCGCATCTGAAAGGAGCAATACACGGCACGCAACACATGGCCTGGCACAGGGCAGTCTTGTTGGACACATAAGGGTGTTTGGTGTTACCCCATATGCGTTGGCTTGCCGATCAGGCAGTAATGACAGGATCTCCCTGGCTCTAAGGAGGAATGGCGACGCTTGATGCTGCTCAGTTACTCCTGAACGATCGTACGTAAGGAGGCCCCCTCGAACTTTTGAAGGACCGGTTATCGCCTTCCTAATATGCTAGTGGTTTACACGCAGCAATATCCTCAATTCAGACAACACGATAACATGTCGGCCCTGGCCCAGTATGGGACTATGTTTACTGCCTTTAAGCAACCCACCCTGGATGGCAGCTACGCTGCCTGCTTGGTACGATGTTACAAATGCGCCCTCGCCGGGGTTTAGGTTCTGTTCAGACAGCGTCGTCCGACGGAAAATGCCGATGCTGCGTCCTGTGCCTACCTGATGGCGGAATCGGGGTTTTGCAATCGTCTGTGGATCACCAGTGCATAGGAAAGCTGAAATATCCTGAATTACCCAGCTGATTGCGTGTTTTGTCACATGGCACATACGATTTACGTTCCCGCCTACAGCCGGTTAAGCAGACACGCAAGAACAGCAAAAGCTTACACGGCAACGTATTGTCAGGAATATTAAGAAGCTGACCACGAGCTTTAGGGTTGATTCCTGCGACATTTCCGCTGCAAGGTTCTAAAGTAAATGCACCTTCGCTACATTAACGTTGCTACAGTACAAACACTCTCTCATGTGACAAACCACTATTAACGCAGAACGCATTTTGCTAATTGTTTAGAGCACGTCATGGGCAAGAGGCCTGTGCGGTAGCCTGATGTACATGGGTACGGATATGAGTCACCGCGACTAGTATGCGGACGAGCATTGGACTCCAGGGCCGTCTTCCGACGTATATTTCCGATAAACAGTACGAATGCCGCACCACCCACCCACCCACCCGGTGCTCTGGGTGCTGAATAAGGGCCGCCGACCGTTGGGCAATCGCATATGGGTTCAATACACTTCAACGCGGCTTATCCGTGCCGCAAACTTACAGCAACTCCCCTGTCCGCCCCGCCGTATACCCTGGGGCTGCCAGAGAACACATCCAAGACCCGTGTCATTTGACTGCCAGCTTCTTTGCTTAGAGGCTGCCGCGGAGGCACATCTCCAGATGGTCCATGAAGAGAAGGTAGTTGTAAAAAAGCAAATCAGACGTTTCTGGAATAACAATCTTCCCTTCTGAAATCAATCCTGTTGCTCGAGTCGGTCACCTCCGATCTTTGAGCCGACACTCCGTGCAAAACCCTGCACAGTTTCTGCTTTGGAACTGACAGCTTTGGGCAACGCTCGGACAGCTTGCACGCTTCGCAAATTGGTCGCATAAGAGCGGTACACACTTTACTTCTGATAACTGTTGATTCTGTAGGTCTGCACCTTTTACGTCCCCATTGGGTATTGCAAGGCGCATCATTTCACGAACACGATGTTACAATAGCTGCCAACGCAGCTGGCATGTCAACCTCACGACCGAACAACCACCATCACCGTCGCCGCGGCAGGCATGCATCAAAATCGCACGCGGGACAGAGCCCCAGCAACAGGACGTCTTATTATAAACCTCCTTATTGCAGCTCTTCCAGAACATCGACACAACGCAACCCTCGCGTATGCTTGCCAATCACAGGCCAGTCATGCGCCCGCTTTCACCCTCCATGGGGAGGCACCTCGAAAGCAGCTCTGGCATTTAGGCCGGGACGACGTCCTTCTTCACGATGCGCTCGTACACCTCGCGAACCTTCAGGCCGACAATGGTCTGGAAGAGGCCAGTGCCGTTGTTCGAGCCCGGGAAACCGCTGTTCTTCAGCATCTGCTGGGTGATCTCACCGTAGAACTTCGCGCTCGTGTTCGACAGGTGGCTCTCGACGTAGATGAGCTCCTCCAGCTTGTCGAACTGGCCGTCCATCTCCAAAACGGAGACCTCCTGGCCGTACCAGGTGTCTGGGCCGTAGAACATCTTGATGCCTGCAGGCGAGTAAAGGAATGGCCAGTAAGAAAAAATCCGTCGCACGCATGGCAACTGTTATGATGCGGGCTTCAACACAGTCTCTTTTCCGGCGAGGCACCCAGCCCTCCTGACAAAGGACATCCTAGACAAAGGACGTAGCACCCCACAAATACGTGCCTGGGAACGAGCACGTCAGCTTGCGGCCGCAAGGAATCCAGCTAATGGTCGAGCCCTCGTCGAACAGGTACACGGGGTCGAACATCTTGCTGCCCTCCTTCTGGATGAGGCGCACACGCAGGTACTGGCCCTTATCATCTGGCACCAGCTGGGTCGGCAGGACCTGGAGGGTTGGCGAGCAGGTTAGGAACAGAATTAGACGAGTAAACAAATAGACAAGAGTCGCTGAAACGGCTGATCGATTATTCGATGAGCATAACAATATGAAACCGACTGCATGACTGCTTCGAGAGGAACTATTTAAGTAGTATTGGAAAGCTTGTAGGACCCCTGTAACAACACCAGCCAAACTCAGTTTTGAACGCCAATGTGCACGCAGTCAGTACGGCAGGCGCTGGACAATTTGACTAGTCATGCCACTCAAGCCATGGACCTCAAACCACGGGGCTTTGTTCACTTCTTTCGTGCTAATCTTGGCCATTCAAAATATCTTAATTCGAAATCCCTCCCCGGCGACCCTGACGACCACCCACCTGGATGATCATGTCGGCGTCCTTCTTCTGGGGGTCAATGTAAGCATCGAAGTCCGGCTTACGGGCCTCAATAGAGGACTTGATGGCCTGCAGGCTGTGGCCACGCTCCGCCATGTCGCGCTGGATTTTCCAGGCGAACTTAATGTCGTCGCTGATGTCCAAATAGATCTTGAAGTCAAGGAGGTCGGCAACCCGCTTGTCGAAGAAGGGGTGCAGACCCTCAATGACCAGAATCTATAAAGGCAGAAGGGTTGGCCCATCCGGGGAGGTAGTAGTGGAATTCCAAATCTGAAGGTCAGGTGTAAAGCAAAAGCCGAGAGAAGCGCATACACATGCAGAAGCACACACAGGCATGCAGATACGATGAGGCGGTAGTAGAAATGTCCCCACATTAAGAATTATTCTTACGTTGGGAGAGTCGATCTTCTCCGGAGCGTCGATTAGACCAGTCACGTGGTTGTAGATAGGCTTGTCAACCGCCTTGCCCTCCTTCAGGGCCTTGACCTGGTTGTACATCAGGTCGAAGTTCTGGGCCTCAGGAGCCAGGGCGGTGACGCCCTTGACCTTGCGGCCATTGCGATCCAGGCAGTGGTAGTCGTCCAGGCAAATGACAGTGGTCATGTCGCTGATCAGCGTGTTCGAGTCGGGGTTGCCGCCTGCAGAGAGGTATGCGGCAATCATAACATCACTCAAGTCGTGTTGGGTGTACGAAGTGCACGAGGGAATTGTTAAAATAGGAAATAGCGTGAGGGCTTGGCCGAGAATTGAAACAGCAATACCTCCTATTAAATGAGCCAAAACTTGCAAAAGCAAAACTTGCACATTTTTTCCTCCGCAGTATTGCGTGCAGGCGTTACCCTGCAAGAGCACTAGGATTTGCAGCACCTTACCAGCCGGGGGCTTCGGCACACCACCAAAAATGCTGGTCATGCGACGCATGAAGGTCGACTTGCCGCAGCCTGCAAGGCATATATCGGAAACGAACTCAGGTAAGCGACTCGCAACCAAGCCAGCCAAGCTTTTGCATATCAACCTGAACTACGCACCGGAGTCCGCAGCCAGGCCAATCACCACGGTCTTGTCCTTCTGGGCCTTGACCACCAGGACGCGGCGGCTCGCCTGGAGACCAAATAGGATAGACACTTCTTAGCGACGGCGACTGAGGTCGTGAGTGTTGGCGCAGGACTTGCACACGACATTGCGTTTAATTAGGTTCAAAGTATAGACTTAACACCAAAACCAACGCGCGAGCGCGGCCGTTCCCACGGAGCATCGGCAACATTCACCACAACTCACCCGGCTGGCGGTCACGCGGCTCTGAGCCGTAGCCCTGCATGCAAACAAATATTATTCCTTTTAGATGTTGCTAGGAGGCGGAAAGGCTCTGAGGAAAGGGCAGCGACATAGCAGCGCCCGATCTGCCCAACCCTACAAAGTTCGGCTCAAGGGACATACGTCGCTGTACCTTGGGGCAGGGGCGCGCATAGTGAAGGCCATGGTTGTTTCGGCTCGATGCAAACGCACGATAGAGCGAAACGAGTGTGTGCTTCCAGGCTCTTTATCCTGGGCTTGCACGGCTTATCCGCAGTACGGCATAAGATGCACGACCGCAAATTGCACACTCTGCTTTCTGCACTTGCATCAAAGTCTGTAAAATATCTTTGATAGATTTATGCAAGTCTTGAAGCGAATTGAATGGTCTGCGTGACAACTCTGCGCCAAGAGTCACCGACGGAAAAGCCAAATGAAAATCCTTTGATAGATCCTGATTACTGAAGGCAAGCTGCACAATTGATCTCCGTATCGCACAATCTCGCTTGTTAAACCAGTCCAAAGCCTACCAAAGTCTGTTTGCTCGTTATTGCGCGAGAGTTTCATAGCATCATTTCGTTTCCAGGTGGAACCACTCTTAGCTTGAGTAGGGCAGCTGGCTTAATGTCTTAAAAAAGTGCTGACCTTGGGTTTCAGTTGGTGTAGGTCTGACATGCTTCGACAGACTCCCCATGACGGAGAAAGTTGTTTACCTGTGGCATGCATGAAAACCCATGCATAACATTGCTTGCAAGGTCCCTGGTATTCTAATGAACCCTCTTTGCTCACACACGACCTCTGTACGGGGGGCCCTCCCGGAAGTACCTAGCGAACAGCGCTCAGCGAGCAGTATGATAAAAAAAACTGCTCTTCAATTGGAGCTTTAAGTTGCTAATCGCGCAGGAATCCTTAATTGACTGCTGCAGCGCGGCACCCACGTCACTGCTTGATAGTATAGGACGCGTTGCTCGGTCAAGACGGACGTCATGGACGTCATCCGCGTTAACCTTGGAGAGGTGCACTCTTGTATGGTAGCGGGTTCGCCCCATGCCAACTGACGGAAGCACACAAGGCTCAGGAGAGAGCTGAAACACCACATGAGTTGGCCGATGTATTTGTAGAGCTTGCCAAGGCTGGAGAATCAGTTAAATGGACGCGGCTGTCGAAATCGTTGCAGTAGTCTGGCGGTCATTGCGTAATATGCCGGCGCTATTGGGCGCGAGTCCCGGACCCTCCGTCGTAATTCAACGCAGGTCGTAATACGTTTGCTATGGAGACGAGTATTGCACGTGGCACTTGCTACGTCGCCCTGCCTTACCCCACCCCCAAGACCGACACGAAACCCAACCTCGATCCCTTGCACGTAAAGGATGGGGCTCAGTCGATTTCAGCCAATATGAAACTCAGGTTTAGTTCCTTGGAACGTCTTTTGCCAGCAGTATCCTAGCGCTAGTGTAGGATGCAGCTCCCGAGAGTGGCACACTTTAAGCAGGAAACACACATCTTTCACGCCGTTCATGGGCAAGGCCAACCGTCAGAGTGCACGACAACATTCCGTACAGGGCTACGAAACGGGGCTCAGATTCACTTCGCATAATTTAAGAGTTTAGCATTGTACTGTATAGGATCCTCATAAGCACGCTGCAATCCACGCATTGGTCTTACAACGGTGTCACGCCTATATGTCCGTTTGCGACGCCTATATTCAAACCGATATTTTTTGGTAATTAGAAGTTAACCGTGCATGAGTTTTGTCTAGAAGCGGGCTCTGGAGTTTGCTTGGGCCGGTGGCAGGGACGAGGGCAGTGTCTTGAACACAATGGTGGGTGAATTCTGCCGAGTAATGCGAACAAAGTTCGCATTTATATTAGATCTTGTTGACAGGATACAATAAATTTGCGTTTGGTTACTGTAGTCTATGTACGTTCGAGTGAAGCGTCTTAAGACAACATATTTTTTACATGTGGAACCTACCGATACTGTTCTGGAAGTAAAACAAAAGCTTCAGGAGCTTGTCGACCAGGTAGGCCACTTTGGTGTTGCGGACAAGGGCAGGCCTTCGCACCACAGAAGTATGGTTATGACCATTTCGCAGTCCTCTGTCTTTCTGGTTAAGTTTGTGTCCCTTCGCTTGCCGAAACTGATCGCGGATATCCGGGTCGTCCGTCTGGTGTGCGGACGACAGCCTCCTGAGAGCCAACAACTTTACAAGGGCCAGACTGTTCTGGAGGATGCGCGGAAGCTTGTGGATTTAAAGGTGGAGAACGATGATGTGCTGGCGCTGTGCTACCTCCAGCCAGGTAGGTGCTTAACGCTGCCCTACGCTGCCTGGGGCGCTGTGTTCAACGTCGACCCCGACACCGAAACATCTATTTCCCCTATGCCTTGCGCAGACGGAACATTTGAGCCCATTAACATATCAACGTTCGAGTCTGAAAAGCCGGAATAGATTCGGCGGGGTGGCCGCACGACAGGCAATTCCATCCTTGCGGTTGAAATCTCAACCAATAAGCTGCAGCCGCTGTCCAAAGACACAAGAATTACAAGTACGCCTAAGCTACGTTGTCCATCTTCACACTTCATCACCCGCGGAGGGCGCCGGCGCCGTCCTTGCAAGCAAGCGCGATACCCAAGCAGACCAACATGTAACAGCTGTCGTCCCCTTTCCTCTCCCTACATGACGGCCCTCATTCCGACCAGTAAAACGAAAGACTGCACCAAAAGTTTGCTATCTGTAGTACTTGGATCGTAGCCAAAGCACCAACAGCACGACGCCCACTACCACCGCTAATGGAACGTACTTGCGAATTAGAGCCTGCGGACAGGGACAGGGACACATTGGCAATTTTAGCGCAGCTACAAATTATCCCTTACGGACCGTCTCACGGTGTTCAGAGACCTACCGGGGCCAGCCAAGAGCAGACAAGCATCAGCATCACAGGGCCCAGTACGCATGCCATAGTAAGCGCTGGCTGCTTCACGCAGTGAAATCACCTCACCTGTCGATGTAGGTCCTTGGCTCGAGAGGCATACTGTTTCGACTCTGCGGCGAGGGTACTCGACATTTTTGCCATGCCTGCACGGGACAGCGGTACACTGGTAACGGGGACCTTTCACCTGGGCACTTTAGGGTAGTACTATGGCCGTTTCCACTCAACCAAACCCCGGAAAGTGAACCAGAATTGAAAGCGGCTATCGCAGTTCAAATGCAATGCTGACGAGAAAACTAGCCCATGGCATGAGCCCCACCCAGATGTTTGTGTTGCGTGCCCCAGTCACTTAGATGCTACTGCCGTGCCGCATCCAAACTGGTGGCATGTTTCTAAAAAGAGCACGACCGCGGAACTTACTGTCCAGCTTCTCCCCTTGCCCGAGGACCTCCTGGATGTTGCGAGTCATGATCGAATGCACCTCCGCCAAGTCGTCATTAAGCTTGGAAAGATTGCGCTGGGTGCGCGTGTCCAGATACAGCTTCTTAGTTTTTTGGATGAACGTATCTGACGGGACAGCGAAACACCAGGCAACCACAGCACGCCCATGCATCAGGCCAACGGTGCTGCAGCGGCGGTCATTCCCCCAGGACCGTGTCCCCGCACCTCTGCCCTATACAGCCCGCTGGCCAACAACCTCAGTACGCTGCTCTGCATAGTCCCGCCGAGTGGCTAGGAGTGGTGATTACCCTCGGCACATCCAGGATATTCCCAGACACGTCAAATATTTCCCCTTCCCCTCCCAGAGACGTCCCCTTGGACTAAGGAATTGAGCCCGGCAGGGCCGGCAGACACGGTACGTACCGAACTTGATGAAGGCATACGGTCTACTGACAGAGTGCACCTGCTGCCCGTACAGTCGGCTGAACTCGTTTGTCAACTCCTCCAGATATTGGAATGCAAGCTTCTTCGGGTAACCCTTCTCCGTCAGCGTCAAGTAGCATACACCCCCGTCGATCAAGTAATGGAAGGTGTACTTTCCCGACTCCACGGACAGCCTAGCCGCTTGGTGGCTTGGTTGCTGTGAAAATTTCTTGAGCAGGCTCTGCAATTCACCATTTGCGTTGTCGGCAGGTGCAGATCCAACGGACCCTGGGACACTTTAGCCCACCTTCGCCTGAGACTTGTACGCATCGATCTCCGCGTCCTTTTCGCTGTCCAGCCCTTCCGCTAGCGGCAACCCATCTTGTACACGTGCTATGAGCGTTAACCGTACCATGACGGGCCTTAATCCTCCAGCGCGTTTCCAACTCCTGCCTTCGGTTAAGTCTAAAGCCTCGGATAAACGACGAAGCTTTCACAAAGTACCTGGTGAAAAATCTACGTACGTTACAAGATAAGAGCAGCGCCAAGTGCTGTCGATGACATAAACGGTAAGATGTTTCAAGTGCGACTGTTTTAGTTGCATAAAGAAGGAAGCGTTAATGGCATATCCTAGCATATAAGCAAGATCTGCATGACATGCTGAAGTCCATGCGGCTTTCTCAAAGGGATAGCAACAGCCATTTCCAACAGTGACATGTACGATGCGTTCGGTTGGCACTTCACCGGTCCCAACCCTCTATCCAGGTAAGGCATTAACTGATGACAAGCCCTTCATTCTTCCTCTACGATTTCTTTTCTTTATCTAATTTGCTGCAATGGCACGCCGGCACCACGTATTACCCTGACGTGCTGACCCTATCCGCCGCACACATCGCGGAATAGGACCGGTTCCCAGCTTTCACAGCACATCCCCAGGTCTACAATCCCTGCCAACGACAGCAACTGCAAAAGCCGCGTTACAAGAAATGTAGGCTTGTGACGGACGTATGCTTCCACAGCAGAGCCCCCCAAGGACACAGGCAAGCAAGGCAAGGCATCAGCGTTACAAAAGGCATTTCCCCCGTCAGCCGAAACCCGAAATATTAAGAAGCCCATGCAATATCAGCACCTGCGCAACTGCGTGCACAACCATAGCCCCCGTGGGTCACACGCAGGCAAACATACACAAACGAGTCACTCCCGTTTCATGGCAAGGCACACGCACAACCTGCATTAACATTGAAGTCAAAAGCATTGTACATCATCATCCTGTACGTAAAGAAAAACGCTCCAGGCCACAGCGCCCTCCACACGCTTTCGCTTACGCCTGCTCTCCAAAGTTGTCCAGATCTTCATACGTCCTTTGCAGGACATCCGTCCCTGACTCAGCCAGGTACGGCAATCCTGCTGCAAGCTCACCGTGCAATACAACTTTGCATTCCTAAACAGCCATCCCTGCCTACAGGCACATCACATTACTTACACAAACTTCCGTTAAAACCCTACGCACACACCACCAAACGGCCCGGCAATTTCGCAGAACGCACGCGTGCACCGCCGCTGTCGGTCGAGTCCGGGGTCCTCGTAGCCCGCTTCCTGGGAGCATGGGCGCCCGGCCCAGCATGTGTACGGACCAATACGGTACGACTCCCCGTTAGCCACGTGCCTCAAAGAGCTTGGGACCTGATCGGATGGTGACGTCACCGTACGGCTCGTCCTGTGAGGCGCGCACGTAGCCTGCAGTGTGGGTCACGAGCGTCTGGTAGAAGAGCTTGACGGCCTCGCTGCGCTTTAGTCGAGACGCGAGCGCAAAGAAGGACAGGGCAGGCTCCTCAGCCTCCTCTCCGTCGTTGCCGCTGCCGCCTGCGGTAGCTTCTGGGGAATGTGCCGCAGCCGCGGCATGGGCCAGCTGGCGACGGAAAATCCTGCGGCAAAGCATATCATGATTTCACGGTGTCGACGGGAAGTGGGTGCCGCCAACGCACATCGCCAGCTGTCCTGAGCATGTCACGGCAGGGGCAGGCCAGCCCGCCCTCCGTGGCCTGCCGTAGCCGAGCTGACTACTACGAACAGTTCCCGACAACAGCAGCGCCATTAGCCAACTTCCTAGTTTGCTACACACAAGCTGCGGCACACGGACAACACAACAACAACAGCAACAATAACAACAACAACAACAACTTTTTTTAAATACAAGATCCGCACGGTACGCAGGGCCGAGCGCCCCAAGACGCAAGCATGTGCGTGTGTCGGGAGCGCACAGGCACATCAAAAAGAGAACTGTAGGAGAAGCGAGCGACTTACGAGACAACCACTTGGGTGTTGCGGCCCATATAAGCCTGAGGGGGAGGAGCTTGCGTGGCCAAGCCGTTCGTTTCCTTCAGGCTGAAGTGGTGCCCTGCGCCGTCGGTGGCGGGGCCCCCGGTCGTACCGCTCCCCCCGCGCGGCACCATTCGGCTGCGCCTAGACCTGGAGCACGGTCCGCTCGGGCCGCTGCCGCCACTGCTGCCGTCAGTGCCCTTGGAGCGAGCGTTACTTGGACCCGCCACCGCGTCCTCGTCTCCACCAACCGCGTCCTGTGCATGCAAACGTACCGATGACAGAGAAGAACACAAACGCAACTCAGCTGCACGTCTTCGTACGACACCTACGGATGCTTGATGATACGCCCCCAACACTTATCCACACATCCACATATTCCGGATCGTCACCATCAGCACAAGGCGCTTTGGGGCAAACGGTCAAAGTACGCAGAGAGAGAAACAAGCGCTTTGGGGCCTGGAGAAACCAAAGCTCGTTAGCGAAACAGTGTTTCGCGAAACAGCGCCCTAACGTGACAATGACCAACAGGCAACAGCCATTAAAAGGCTTTCACCTCATGCTCGCCCAGGTCCACGTCGAAGGCTACAGCGGGGTCGTCCTCCTGGTGGGCTTCTAACTCGTCGATGGCCGGTAACAGGTCCTCCAGTGCACCCGTTCCAAACATGCGCCGCGCTGTCGGGCCGACGCTGCGCTCCCCCGTACGTGTCACCAAGCCGTACCAGGCCGGCAGAATGGAGGGCAGGAGAAGCGAGGGCGATGAAATGAAACGATGCATGGTGCGTGCGAAAGCGCGTCGGGGGTTGGGGAGAGATAACCAGAGAACTATCGGCAACTCTTGGCTTACATCAGTTACGAGAAACAGCTGGCTTATCGAGATCGTGGTGTGCCGTACATCGTACACAACCTGCCCACCTATCTAAACATCATGGTAAGGCGTGCGCCTGTAGACCCTTGGAATGGGTGATGGGTCAATCCTCAATTGCCGTAAAGGCTTCCGAGTGCACTCGGTCCAGAGTTTATAACGGCAGGAAAATGCAAAGAAAACATCTCACCGAAAGGCCCTCCCGCCTGTTGTGCCTTCGTCCTCAGGCTCCCGTCCGAGGCTGCTCTCGTCACTCCCCGAAGTGGGCTGCTGACTGGAGTCGCCGCCTGTTGTCGCGGTTGCCTGGCGGCGGCTTTGCCCCGCGGCCGACCCCCCCAGGCTCAGCCCCAGCGCCGCCCGGCGCTGCCCCTCCCGCTGTCGCTGAGAGTCGCTGCCCTCGCTGTTCTGGCGCCGCAGTCTGCAGGGACCAACAGATAACCCCGGGAAAAGGGGACAGGCGGGCTGAAGGGAAAAGGTGGAGATTAAGATTAGCCTTTGGTTCCTGCAGGAATCTAAAGGCTAAGGAGTCGTCCCCGGGCCCCTCACTCTACCCAATCCGGTTCCCGCCCAGGCAGCATCCCTACTCAAATGCTAGTCGCTACCGCCTTTTACCGCCTGCCTAACTGCTACCTACTGCGATCTGCTGCTACTCTTCGATCCACACGTGTATGAGTTCGCACGTCTTCCACGTCTTCCACCCCCATCAAGTTCCCTCAAGGACCCCCCCGGAGGAGGACTTGCGCTGGCTCCACCTGCCGGGCGCATACGGACCATCAAGCTCGCCTCCCCTCCCCTGCCACACACACCCTCGCTCCCTCCCTCCCTCTCCTCCCTCTCCTCCCTCTCCTCCCTCTCTCCTCCACCTTCCCGTCTTTAGGTGTTCAAGTACCGTTCCGTCGCGGTCTCGGTCCCGACCCTAGCCCCTTACGCCACCGCTGCGGCTGCCCGGCCCGGGCCGCAGCTCTCGGCTTGGCTTACCTCTCCATTTCGATATCCTCCTGTGGATACATGTCAAGATCCTCCGCGGCCTCTCCCAGAATCGCGTCCACCGGGGGCATGAAGTCCATCTCGTCCACTGCCGCCGCCGCTGGCGGGAACAACCCCTCGCTTGGCCGGTCGCCCTCAGAGGCTGCAAGGTCATGCTGCTCCATAAGGCCCCCCCCAACAGCATCTGCTACGCGGCCATGACTCGGCTCTTGTTGGTCTTGTTGTTGTGCTGAGGCGCTGCAGCTCTGAGGCTTCTGCTGATGCAGATTAAACCGGTTATGGTACAGCTCCTGCCTCTCGTCGTCGTCGCTCAGTCCCATGGACCTCCTGCCCGCCGATGCTGCAGGTCCAGCAGCGGCGGCAGCGGCGGTCACGCCGTCGCCGTCGCCGTCAGCAGCAGCGGCGGCAGCAGCAGCAGGGCCCTTCGCGGTTCGCTGACGCTTCGCAGGGTTGGCAGCTGGGGCCCGGCAGCCTAACCCAAGCAGTGGACCATTCCGTCAAAGACGAGGTGGGTAAGGAGCGAGGCAGCGAGGCAGGTAGGGAGGAGGGGCAGTTTACGTCATGGACAATGTTAGTCAGTCCCATCTTAAAGCCGCGGAAATTATGAACCGTTCGAAAGCATGTCTCAAAGCCGAGAGACACGCCCCGAAAGCCAAAGCTTAAACCATTCCCAAAGCAGCTAGCTGGTCAACATGGGGTGCAGAAGGATAATCAAGGGTTGAGGGAAAGCTGTCACCTGCTCACCTGCCACGAACCGCGCACCCACCCACACTACTAGCTGACAGACCTAGCCTGCCCACCCACCCACCCACCCGCACTACTGAGCCCACCGGGATCGCCAACAACAGCACCAGCACCTGGTCGCATCATCGTCGGTGGCGGCGCTCCTCCCGGACATTCCTCCTCCGCGTCCTCCACCACGTCATCTGCAGCCGCCGCCGTGGCTACCAAACGCAGCAAGTGGGAACTCCACACCATGCTTCGGCCGTTCAACATCGCCGCCGGCCCGCGGCGTACGGCGATAGATGCCGCGTCCACGTCACCCACCGCAAGCACCGCCGCCACGGCGCCGCAGAGCATCGCCGCGGGTGTGCCGTCGTACGGCGCGCCGGAGCGGCGGCCGTGGAGCGGGCCCATGGAGGATGCGGCTGCCGCCTCTGCCGAGCGGAGAGCGGGTCCTGCGACGCGAGCTGGCGCCGTGGCTCCGGAGCCGCCACCGTAGCTCAGAAGCGCGCCCTTGACGCCCGGTCTGAGCAATGCTGAGGAGTCCAGGGTCCATTCCCGGTACGTCCGCCCGGTAATCTGGCAGTTGGGTATTAGGGGGTTCAAGAGTTTAGGTTTTTACAGAGTCGCGGGAATTTGCAAAGACGGCTTGATGGTCAATCTATGGGGCATGCAAAACGGTTGGCGCGGGCAGAGGCAGCGACGGGGATGCGATAGCAAGGCACACCACTACAGTGTTTA